GGGGGGGGGGGTGCAGAAGAAAGCTCACACACGGAGCTAAGGTGTCCATTCCAAATAATAATAAAAATAACAATAATAATAAGGATAATAAAATAAGACAGTCATCCAACAAAACAAATACTGACAAAAACCTCTAAAAGAACACATTTCATGACTAAAATCTTTTTTGTGTGTGTGTGTCATTTTACCATATATTTTATATATTAACAGATTTTTGTGGATAAGAAAGTAGTGGAGAGAAAAGCAAACCTGAAGGATTTCAGAGAAAAGAGAATAAATAGCAGCTTTGTCATGTATACACACACACACACACACACACACACAAACGGAAGCAAATGCATCTTCGAAATGTAAAAAAGGTGACAAACCGATGAAGTGGGTGTGTAGACCTACTTGAAAATCCGTCCAGTAAATGGTGAAAGTCCACCGTGCGATCGTCACATGCACTTTCCTGCTTCCTGTCTGCTGTGTCAAGTGCATGCTGGGAGATGACCAACAAGAGGAGGGGCTGTTCATTCATAAAGGTGCGGCATTGATTGCTGAGGTGCGGTTTGGTCACCCGCGCAATAAGTTTGCTGTCTGAAGAAGGCAACATTACTCGGCTGCAGAACAGGAGTTCAGAACATTCAGAGATTCTCCCACCCCGCGAAAAGTGATAAAAAGACAAAGAAACGATTAATCGGTCTGACAGTGTCCCCTAAATGATGCTCAAGTGGTGGTTGGGATGAGTCTGGCCGAGGCTGCGCTTCAGAATATTACGTGCAAAAAATTAAATTGTCATTTTAAAATCGCAATTGAATTCAATTTAGAATGGATTTAATAAAAAAAAAAAAAAAGTAATACAAGAGAATGGTTTGAAACATTTTATAATAATAATAATAATAATAATAATAAAACATTTGATGATCTGTTGTTTTTGAAGAAGATTAAAATGGGATTAAAAAAAATCTATTTCATTGATTAATTGACAAAATAATCAACAGAAAATCAATTATTAAAGCAACCATGAATTGCAGTGATGTGTGAAAATATTTTTTTCCCTTGGTTAAAAATTTGGCCTTTACTTTGTTATATTTTTAGTTGACCTTTAGTTGATAAATTCAATGCAACGTGAATTCTACTCTGAAGCACAGTCTCCATTTGGCAACTTAGTGTTATTATTTTCTTTTAAAGACACAACACACTTTCTTCCAGTCACACAATTTTTCTTGTCGGATATGCCAAACAAAACTTCACTGATGTGAAAAGTTACCCAAAAAAAAAATGTTTTTATAGAGAGAAATGGTATATAAATACACACTCCACAACATCCTCTCTCAGGAAAAAGTGCTTTTCTGTTGACTTTTACTGGCAGATAAAAAAAAAAAAAAAAAGTTATTTTGTCTTTTTAAGTCTTGTGATTTCCTTCTCGAAGGAGTGATGAAACAAAGACGCCGAATCTCTCTCTCTCTCCTGTCGAAGGAGTCACTTCACAGAGACGCAAGAGAGATTTGGGTTACCCTGTGTACGAGGACTTGGGGGGCGTGGGGGTCGATATTAGCAAGCCGACGATTGGGGCAGCGGTAGCGGCCGTTCGTTCTTCCTGCCGCCGTTCATGTGCGCGTAGGGCTGCAGCTCGTCAAAGTTGGGCCTGAGCAGCACCACGGGCCCGTTGGCGGCCGCCAGTCCCGCATGCTTGCTGTCCGAGGGCCCCGCGGCGGGTGAGCCGGGTCTCAGGAAAGGGCCGCCGGGCTCCGGGGCAGGGCAGGGCGGCTGCTGGGACGAGGAGGGCGGCGATGCGCCCGCGGTGCACCCCGCCGATGGGGCAGCGACCGGGGGCTGGATGGTCGTGGCGGGGGCCAGCGGAATGTTCTCCATGTTCTCCACCTGCATGTCCAGTT